CTGTGCTGTGAAAAAGGATGTTTCCTGTGTCCAGGTAACAACATGTCTCAGGTCAGAAGTTGGAAGTGCTCAGGAGACAAGCAGTAGAGAAAGGAGTCAGGCGAGGTGCGCCCTGTGCAGCCCCAAATCTAGAGAGAAGGGGGGACCCCAGGGAGGTTACAAGATCTGCTGACGCCCCCTGAGATGCTTTTACTCACAGCACTTCTGACATCAGATGCATGTATGTTTTATTCTTCCCCACACCAAGCAGTTCTCCAACTGGGTATCCTACAATTCTCTACTGGAGTTAAAAGAGACCGCACAGGTGAAGGGTTCAAGACTGCCCCACTTCAGATCAGTCCTAGATTACTGCCTATACTCCTTTATTTTTTAATTAAAAAAAAATTACCTATTTATTTATTTTTGGCCTCGCAGAGTATGCTAACCAGGATTTGAACCTGTGCCCCCTGCAGTGGAAGTGCAGCATCCTAACCACTGGAGCGCTAAGAGGTTCTCTGCCCCTTATACTTCTTAACGACTGATAATAAACCCGAGTTTCCACTACCCATTCCTCAGGTTCAGTAATTTGCTAAAACAGCTCACAGACTCATTATTTCCAGTTGATTATGAAGAAAACAACTCAGGGACAAGCACATGGAAGAGACTCACAGGGCAAGGTATGGGAGAAGGGCAGGGAGCTTCCCTGCCCCCTCTAGGTACCTCATCTTCTGAGCATCCCATGTGTTCACCAATGGGATGAAATCACTGGCCTTTGGGGATTAACTCAAAATCCAGCCATAACCTCTCCCAGGAGGTCTGGGAAGTGGGGGCTGAAATTTACAATCACCTAGTCACGCCTTCCGTGGAGTAGGAAATGGCAACCCATTCCAGTATTCTTGCCTGAAGAATCCCACGGACAGAGGAGCCAGTGGGCTAAGGTCTATGAGGTTGCAAAGAGTAAGACACTAAGTGACTTCGCAGCACAATCATACCTTGGTCTTTTTGGAGACCAGCCCCCATTCTGAAGCTACTTAAGTGCCTTGGGCCACTGCTTTTCTTATTAACATACAAAAAACACATCACTCCGGAGTTCATCAAAGTTTTAGAAGCTGTGTGCTAAAAACCAAGGACAAAGATCAGATGTATCTTGGGACTTATCTGGTGGTCCAGTGGATAAAGGCCCTATGCTCACAGGGCAGGGAACCCAGGTTGGATTCCTGGTCAGGGAGCTAGATCCCACATGTGAGAACTAAAAGTTTGCATGCTGCAACTAAGACCCTGCACAGCTTGCTAAATGGCAGCACCGGGGCCTTTTACCTCCCTTGAAGGAGACTTGGGCCTTGGTGGAAGGCCAGTCTTTTCACTGGAATGTGCCATGAAGGGCTTTTTGGAAACCACAGATCTGATACCTACTTGATAGTTTTCTGAAAGAAAAAAAAAAAAAAAAGGCTTTGACTGCACTTGGCCCTGGGCAGGTGTCTCTTTCCAGGCTCCACCTCCCACCCAAACTGTTGCCTTTCCTTCTGGCCTCAGGGCCTTTGCACAGCTGTGTAGCCTGATATACCTCTTCCCTCAGCCACACCGCTCATCTCCACCTTACAGCCTGTGCTGCAGGTGCCCTTGTGGGGCTCCATCGGTGCTGGGTGCTTCTGTTATTGCCCTGATCACCCTGGATTTGTGTTTGGCTCTCTTAGGGCCTAGATAGGCGCTATCCTGGTGACTGCCGAAACAAAAGAGCTAAGTTTTGTCCAACTGCCATGTCGCTGGTTTTGCCCAGAACCACACCCACAGTGTGGAAAACACAGGGTCTTTGCAGGGGAGGGCTGAGCATCTCTGATGGCCCCGTGCTTGGATGTCCCCCCAGCCCTGCAGGCTCCCCAGGGAGGCCAGCCAGAGGCCTGTGGGCCAGGCTGTGTGGCTTTGGCAGGACTTTGCTGAGCCAAAGTGTGTGTCAGCCGGGACCCAGCCAGCAATGATTCACACCAGGCCTTGGCCCAGCCCCAGGAGGTGACTGGAGACGGTGGCCTCACTTCCCCTTCCAGGACTGTGGCTCAGGGTCAGTGCCCACTTTTGCCAAGCAGTGGTAAGTTCCCAAGGGGCCCTGGACCTGGCGCTATCCTAAGGAGGCCCCATCCTCAACAGCGGGAGCCCAGCGCCTGAGCTCCTCTGCTTTAAACCCTCTCGTGGCTTCCCTGTGCCATCTCAACAAAACCAAAGCTGCCATCCTCCTCTCTGAAGCCCCCCTATACCGTCACCCTCCCCACCTCCCTCCCTCAAGGGCTTAGCCTTCTCCACGTTCTCCACAGTCTTACCTGGCGGCTCAGACAGTAAAGGATTCTTCCTGCAGTGCGGGAGACCTGGGTTTGGCCCTAGAGTCAGGAAGATCCCTTGGAGTAGGAAATGGCAACCCACTCCAGTATTCTTGCATGGAGAATTCCATGCACAGAGGAGTCTGGTGGGCCACAGTCCAGGGGTGTGGCAGAGTCTAACAACCGAGCACTAACGCTTTCACCGTGTTCCCTGAACATGACCAGCTTGCTCTCACCTCAGCGCCTTTGCCTATGCCCCACCGTCCATCTGGATGCCGTGCTCACAGCAGGCCCCCAGTCAACTCATTTTCTCTCTCCGTGGGGTTCAGCCCATCCTACCCCCTCTTTGGTTTGTGAAATGAAATATTTCCTTCTGAATCCAGTGGGCAAGAAATGTCACTGCCGTCAGCAATTTCTGGCTTCTAAATGTAAATGAGGACTCCCAAAAGGGAACAAGATCCCTTGGACCCAGCAGCTGCCCCCCATGGTGATTGCTGAGGAGCTGGGTGGTGGGAGGTTGGAGGGGAATGCAAGAAGCAGCCATTTGCCACACCTGCCACCCCTTACGATGAACAAGGAAACAGGATTTGGCCTCAGATGGCTGAGGTGCATAGGAAAGAAATTATTTCAGTGAGCCCAGAGGCTTACATCTTTTACATAGTGCACTAAATTCTTTAACTTGATACCTGATTTTTCTTACCTCACAATCATCTTTGATGTTCTGACTACTTGCTCCCTTTGTTGCAAACTTGTATATAGCCTGACTCCCCCTCCCGCCTCCTTGGAGCAGTTTTCTCAGCGCTACTGAGAAGCTGGCTCCCGGGCTCGGTGTCCTTAACATTCCTACCAAATAGAACAATTCTCTATTTACAGGTTGTGACTATCTTTTAGTCGACAGGTTCCTTCCTAACAGTTTCACACCCCTAAATTATTTGAGTTGTTTGTGTCCCCAGCACAAAGGTCCTAGCACAGAGTGGATGTTCAGCAAATGCCCGAGGGATGAGAGAGGCTGAGGCCATCTCTGGACACATGAAGGGGAGAATTTGGGGTCCCCTCTGTGCTCAGAACCCTAACTTTTCTATTTGGGATGGGCAGGCAAGATGTAGCATCCACCATACCCTTCAGCCCTGACCCGGGTCCCGCCCCTCCCCCACCCCACTGAGTCAGCCTTCTAGAACCCCCTCCCATCAGGAACTGGTGGGGATTGGCCGGAATCTGGCTGAGTCACAAAGCCACCGTGACACCAGCGCCCCAAGGCTGGCCGTTCGGGCTGGTGGGTCCAGCTTCAAGGGCAGGTGAGTGAGGCTGGTGGTGGGCTGGGTAAGGGTGGGTACGTGGAGACCTGGTCATTCTTCCAGGGCCCCCAGGGCCTTCAGGGTCCTCCTGGGCCTTCCAGGCTGCTCTGAGAGGTGGGACAGCCCCACAGCCCCTCACAGCAAAGGTGCAAGGGGCCCCCAAAGCCCTGATGGTGAGTTTGTCTGCCTCGGGGACCCAGCCTGGAGAGCCTATCACATTTTCTTGGGAGCCTGGGTAGGTGGTCTTTGCTCATGTGACACTAAATGGAGACCCAGAGGGGTTTACTCAAAATCGCCCACTGGCCACTCAGCTCATGTATCTGCGGCTCTTACTCCTTCTTCTCATTTCCTGACATCCTGTTTCTGTCCCCCTGTCCTTCTTCTGTCTCATTCTGATTGAGTTTATGGAACAGGCTGAATCATATGGTTGAGGAAACCTCAGAACCTGAGATGGGCCAATTCAGATCCTGAAGTTGCCGTCTTCAAGTTCTGCATGCTGGGCCACATTCATCCATCCATCTGTCGATCCATCCATGTATCCATCCTTCCATTCATTCTTCCATTTATCCATAAACCTCTCTGTTTAAAAAAAATATATTTATTTGGCTGTGCTGCGTCTTAATTGTGGCACTCAAGATCTTCGATCTTCCTTGTGGCATGCAGGATCTTTAGATGAGGCATGCACACTCATAGTTGGGGCATGTGAGATCTAGTTTCCCAAACAGGTATCAATCCCTGGGCCCTCTGCATTGGGAGCACAGAGTCTCAGTCACTGGACCACCAGGGAAGTGTCCCCATAAATATGTCTTGGGCACCTACTATATGGACTGTTCTAGGCACTGGGACTCAGAAGCAGACAAAGGGCCCTACCTGGTGGTCAGCTCACAGTCTAATGGGGGAGGCAAATAAGAAACAATATAAAGAAGTGAGACATGGTATGTTGGCTTCTCTGGACCTCAGTTTCCTCCTCTGCGACATGAGACAGTGACTGTGCAGACCCTCGGGAACCAGCCTCAGGCCAGTTTGCTGTTATGAGTCAGTTCCCATTGATGCCCATTGTGCCTGGGCCTGGCCCATCTTGGGGCCAGATATTCAGACCATCGTACAAGTGAAGTCAAAATGTCTAATGTGAAAGGAGGTGGTGCTTGGGTCTTTGAAAACAAATTGATCGTGATCATCTTTGTCTTAAGGTATTTAGTCCATTACCATATCAGTGATTAATATGATTGAATTTAAATATACCATTTTACTAGTTTTCTTTCTGTGGTCTCTGAATTTTAGTCCTCCATTCCCCCACCTTCTGCCTTTTTTTCTAAAAAAAAATTATTATTTGAATCATTTTTAGAATTCTATTTTAAATTCTACTGCCTTCCCTCCCCCCCTTTTTAGGGGCTGCTCAAGGAATTGTAATCCTTAAAAAACATCCTTAAGTCATAACTGAATTAGAGGTACTGCTGTTCTACTTCATCTAAAATGTAAAAATCTTCCAACCATGTAGGTCCTTTTACCCTCAACATTGTTGTTTATTCTTTACTTTTCATGTGAAATACAGCTACATAGATTATAGATGCCACAAGACCATGTGTTAATCTTTGCTTATACTGCCATGTGTTTTTTTAAAAGATGAAAATAATAGTCTTTCCTATTTATGTGAGTATCTATCATCCCTTATGTATTTTTCATTTCTCCCCAGATATGTCTCCCTCAAATATAATTCTCCTTCAACTTGAAGAAGTTTCTTAGCATTTCTTATAATGCAGACGTACAGGTGACAAATTCTTTTAGTTTTACCTGAAAATGTCTTTAACTTTATTCCCAAAGGATATTTTCACTAGGTATAGAATTATCAGTTGGCAGTATTTTGCTATTGTTGTTTGTTCAGCTCTTTAATTATGTGCATGTCAATCCTCAATCTATTACCTCTTGCCACCAAATGTACCTTTCACTTTGTACCTTATCTGTAATAAAAACAAAGGAGTTCCTTTCATTGTCTCAAGTGAGTGTAATATTAGTCTTTCTTAGTAGAGGTTGCTGGTAAGACGTTGCAGGATGGGTCAGTAATAGAAGTGTGAAGATTCCTGGTGAATCTGCCTCACTTCTGAGATTTTGCTGGCTTGGCCTGGTGAAGACCTTTCTGTAGCCTTCTTGTCATCAGAGCCCCCATGGTAGCCCACACACCCTGCAGACCTTCTGCCTCCACCAGCAACTGGATTCCTGATATGTGTTCACATCACCAGTTACTGGTCACCTGTTCCCCCATCTGCACTTCTGGGGGAGGGTGCTTTTGCTTGCTTGGAAACTCCAGACCTGCTTCAGTCTAGCCAAACCAGCTGGTGTCTCTGCCGTCTGGTGAGTCATACCACATCCTCTCCAAGGAAGTCTGAATTTCTTCCCAATTTGCCCTTCTTTGGAGATATAGCTCAACCCTAGGAAACCACATTAGAGTTTCTTTTTACCTTATAGTTACTGTTTTATTGTCATAAACAGTACTTTACATTAAACTTCCTTCATTTAATCTATGGTTGGTTTTGATCTCCTGATTGGGCCCAGACTTGCTTCAAAGTGGTTCCACTGTCTTCTGGCTTCCATAGTTTCGGATGAGAAGTTGGCTGAATCATGGCTCCACTGAATGTTATCTGTTTTTCTGTGACTGAATTCAAGATCTGATCTTGGCTCTTCAGGATGTTGACTCTGTTGAGCCCAGGTGTGTTTCTTTGTGCTTATCTTGTTTAGGGTTTTCTGAGCTTTTTAAACCTATACATTTTTTTTCAACAAATTTTTGACCACTATTTCTTTACATATTTTTATACCCTCCTCTTTTTTTCTGGGACCCCAATTACATTTATTTGATATTGTCCCATAGGTCCCTAAGGCTTGCTCTATGTCCCATTCTTTGCCCCTTCTGTGTTCTTCAAATTGGATAATTTCTGTCTATTTTCAAACTCACTGACTCTTCTGTCATCTGCACTCTGCTTTTTAGCCCATCCAGATACTTTCTGAATTCCAGATATTTTATATTTTTAATTTTAGGATTCCCACCTGGTTATTTTCTAATATCTTCATTTTCCTGTTTATCTACTGAGATCCTCCGCCTCTATTCCTTATGAGCATGTTTTCCTATTACGTATAATTATAATAACTACTCTAAAACCCTTGTCTGATAATTACAAGAACTGGGCCTCTTGGGGTCACACTCCACTGATAAACTTTTCTCATGAGAATGTTTCATTTTTTTAAAAATTTATTCAAATTTCCTGTCATTTTGGATTATATCCTAGACATTGCAAATGTTAAGTTGGAGACACTCTGGGTACTGTCATAGTCTTCCAAAAGTATGGGTATTTTTGTTTTAGCAGGATGGTAACTTGGACTCTTTTACCACATGCATTGCAAACTTTTTTCCTAGTCTCTTGTACTTTGGCCTTATTTATGGCATCATTAGTCATACACTTTTTTTTCTTTATGATGTCAAACATGTTTATCTTTTTCAAAGCTCTTGGGTTTCCTGTTTAGTTTCATAAGAGCTCACTGACTTACACACACATAATAATAAATGTTCTTATAATTTTTCAATCCATCTGAATTTTTTAGAATATGGTATGAGGTAGAGGTCTAAGCATATGTTCTTGCAGATAGATTGCCTTGTACCATTTATTTAAACACAGAATTTCCCTCTCTCAAATTGAAATACTTTATATCATTGGTATTTTGGTACATTGGTATTAATTTCTGGTTTCCTTTTTCTGTCCCACTGATTTATTTTTCTAGTCATGTATGTGAACCATACTGTGATTATGACGGCTTTTAAGTCTATACATCTGGCTAGTCAAATTCTCTTATTACTGTTATTTTTTATGATCTTTTTGGCTTCTCTCACTTACTCTTCTATCTGAACACTGAAATTATTCCATTTCCAAAAAACTCCACTTTGAGATTCTAATTGGACATGAATTATAGTCTGTGAATTGTGACATTGTGTAATAATTGTTATAAGAATTCTTTCTTCCTCCTAAACTGGTGGTACATCAGGTGCTAAGGTACCTGTAGTTTGTAACTTGCATTTTTCATTTAATGTATGCTCTGATTATTTGCTTGTCTCATTACATATTCCTCAAAATCACTTAAGAGTATTTTGGCCTCCATATGGTGATGCAGAGAGAAAAGCCTCCAAGAGATCTTTTGTCTGTTTTCCTAGCCTTCACGTAACTCCTTTGGCTTTTGTGTAATATTTGTTCCTGTGAATTGTATAGTTTTGGACATCACTATGAATTTTTTTTCTCATTTCACATTTGTAGCTCATTTTTTTTGTATGCAGTCATATGCCTTAGGAACGATGGGATATATATATATATACACATACATGTGTTCTGTATGTGTATACATATATGCTTTTAAAAAATAGACTCTCTTGGATCTTCCAAGTTGACAATTCCTGCTAAGTCTCTTTTCAAACATTTTGTTATCTTGTTTTTGCTGTAATTACCAAAAATAGTGATACCCACAGCAAGGGTGGGCAGCATCTCTCTCCTTTTACCAAAAATGACTTCAGAATTTCAGTTTTAAAATGGCATTTGTTATGGTTTTGTGGTTAGACTTACCATTTTTATGTACTATCTTATCTATTTTTTAAAATACTTATTATAAATAGCTATGGATTTGGGAAAATGCCTTGGGGGCACTATTTGGAAAACCATATGGCTATCTTTTAAATTCCTAGATGTAATGAATTACCTTGTGAATTTAAAGATACTAAACTATTGTTACATCTTTAGAATAAATCCTACTTGGGTATAGTATTATTCTTCTGATAACTGGTCTTTTTTTTTTTTAGAGTATTTGCATCATCTCTGTTGGTGAGAGCTAGATTTTGGTAATGTTTTTCTTTTTTCTTCTTTTTTAAAAAGGAAATTACAAAGTTTTTCTTTTCCTTTTTTTATGGAAACTGGTGGCTCATATGGTAAAGCATCTACCTGCAGTGCGGAAGACCCTGGTTTGATCCCTGAGTCGGGAAGATCCCCTGGAGAAGGAAATGGCAACCCACTCCAGTACTCTTGCCTAGAAAATTCCATGGATGGAGGAGCCTGGTGGGCCACAGTCCATGGGGTTGCAAAGAGTTGGTCATGACTGAGCGACTTAACTCTCTTTCTTTATTTTTTTAGAGTTGGTTTGTTTTTGAGTTATAGTTTTCTTTTTAAAAAAAAAAGTTTCCCCCAAGTTTTATTGAAATATAACTGACATACAGCACTGTGTAAATTTAAGGTGTATGGCATAATGACTTGCATACATCGTGAAATAATGATCGCAAGAAGTTTAGTGAACATTGGGACTTCCCTGGTGGTCCAGCAGTTAAGTCTCTGAGCTCCCAATGCAGGGGATGCTGACTTGATCTCTGGTTATAGGTCAGTTGGTAAAGAATATGCCTGCAATGCAGGAGACCCTGGTTCGATTCATGGGTTGGGAAGATATGCTGGAGAAGGGAAAGGCTACCCACTCCAGTATCCTGGCCTGGAGAATTCCATGGACTGTATAGAACATGGGGTTGCAAAGATTTGGACATGACTGAGTGACTTTCACTTTCACTTGGGGAATTAATCCCACATGCTGCAAGTCATGGCCTTAAATAAGTAAATAAAAGAAAAAAAATGTTTAGTGAACATCCATCATCTCATATAGATACAAAATAAAAGAAAAAGAAAATTATTTTCCCTTGTGATGATAACTCAGAATCCATCATGTTGTACATTACATCCCTAATATTTATTTATCTTATAGCTGGAAGTATGTACCTTTTGACTGTCTTCATCCACTTCCCCCTCTCCCTACCCCACTCCGTCTGATCTCTCTTCCTATGAGTTTATTTGTTTTGTTTTGTTTTTGGCGGTACCACAAGGCATGTGGGATTTTAGTTTCCCGACAAGGGATTGAACCCAAGATCCCTGCAGTGGCGATGTGGAGCCTTAACCACTGGGCCACCAGAGAAACCCATGTTTGTTTTTTTTTTTTTTTCCATTTATTTTTATTAGTTGGAGGCTAATTACTTTACATCATTACAGTAGTTTTTGTTATACATTGAAATGAATTAGCCATGGATTTACATGTATTCCCCATCCCAGTCCCCCCTCCCACCTCCCTCTCCACCCGATCCCTCTGGGTCTTCCCAGTGCACCAGGCCCTAGCACTTGTTGTTTGTTTGTTTTGAAGTGTAAAATTGACACACAGTGTTAAGTTAGTTACTGGTTTACAACTTAGTGATCTCATGTTTCTATGCATTAAACAATAAACACCATGTGGTGACACTGTTTTAAAATATTCCATCATTCTTTCTATGTTTGAGTGAAGGAGTGAAGGAGGCCAGGTTCCCACATCATATCCTTCTGCCACCTTGACTAAGAGGCCAAATTCTAATGTTTTAAGTGAAATTTTGTTTGTTAAAGTGCCCCCTAAAAAAAATAAGTACCCCCTGAGCCTACTCCTTACACACACACACACACACACACACAATCACTTGTCAATTTAATGTTTATCCTTCCAGATTTTTTTATGCCTATTCTAGTGTGTGTGTGTGTTGTGTGTGCTTTATATGGGCTATTTTTTAAAAAGTCAAGTCCTGGGACCTCCCCAGTGGTCCAGTGGTTAAGAATCCACCTTCCAATGCAGGGGATGTGGGTTTGATCCTGATTGGGGAACTGAGATCCCATATGCCATGGGGGCGGCTAAGGCTGCACACCGCAGCTACTTAGCCCACATGCTGTGAGGAGAGAAGAGCCTGCCTGCCACTACTAAGACCTGATGCAGCCAAACACATGAATAAAAGAAAAAAAAGTCAAGTCCTATAGTGCTTGTTGTTTGTAACTTGCATTTTTCATTTAAGGTATGCTCTGATTATTTGCTTATCTCCTTAGGTATTCCTCATCATCACTTAGGAGTATTTTGGCTTCTATATGAAGGTGATGCAAAGAGAAAAGCCAGGCCATGTTTTCACAATCCAAAGAAACTGACGTGACTGGCCTCTCAAGCCCCCTCATGTCCCCTCTCAGTCACCTCATTTCTGTATTTTACTTTTTGGCTGTGATGGGTCTTCCTTGCTACACCCTGGCTTTCTCTAGTTGCCGCGAGCAGGGGCTGCTCTTTGTTGTGATGCGAGGCCTCACTGGGGCGGCTCCTCTTGTGGAGCACAGGCTCTGAGTGTTGGGCTTCAGTAGTTACAGCACATGGGCCCCGTAGTTGTGGCACGCAGGCTTAGCTGCACCTTGGCATCGTGGGATCTTCCTGGACCAGGGATCAAACCAGTGTCCCTTACCTTTCAAGGTGGATCTGTAACCACTGGATCACCAGGGGAGGCCCTGTCCAGACTTTTAACAGCAGAGTTTAATTTCTTCTCTTCTCTTTTGTATGTCCTATAACTGGAGTAACCAGTTTGTCTTCTTTTATGTTCAGTTTCTTTCACTCAAAACAATGTATGTGAGATTCCTCTATACTGTTGACCGCATTCTCACTGACATGTCAAATAGGATCCATTGATGTATAAATAGGTCAATATTTTTAATTCTACTCATTTATATACTAATATATTGATGGATATACAGTTGACTTACTCATTATTCTGTTGATGGACATTTGGATGGTTTCTGGTTTGGGGTGAGTATAAACACTTGACCTCCTGAGTATATTCATCTGAGTGGAATTGATGAGTTGTCTTCAAGATATGGATCCAAGTGGTTGTAACTTGTTCACCTTTTAAATTTTACCTATTCTTGTGGATGTGGACACCATTTCTTTTTTTAAACGCTTTCTTTTCTTTTAAAAAAATATTATTTGGCTGTGCCATATTTTAGTTGCAGAATGCAGGATCTTCAGTCTTCACTGAGTCATGAGAAATTTTAGTTGTGGCTTGTGGGATCTAGTTCCCTGACCAGGGGTCGAACCTGGGTCTCCTGCATTTAAGCCACCTCCTGCTGATAAGCATTGTGGTTTTCGGTTTTGACTCTCACAAACAATACAGTGATGAACGTCCCTGAGCACCCTTCTTTATGCACTTGTTAACTGACCCCCTAGCAATCACCTTTTTGGTTATTTCCAGTTTTTTGGGTTTTTTTTAGGTACAAAATAACACTAGATACGTATCAAATCTATAACCAAATGGACCTACAAGATAACACAGGGAACTATGCTCAATATCTTGTAATAACCTATAATGAAAGAGAATGTAAAAAAGGAATATATATGTGCCTTCCCTCATGGTCCAGTGGCTAAGACTCCAAGCTCCCAGTGCAGAGGATCTGGGTTGAATCCCTAGTCAGGGAATTCCCATATGCCCCAGCTAAAGTTCCCACGTGCCGCAGATAAGACCTGGTGCAGCTAAATAAATAAAATAGCACAAATAAATATTTTAAAAAGGAATATAGATATGCATATATAACTGAATCAATTTGCTATATACCTGAAACCAATACAACATTGTAAATCAATTATATTTCAATTAAAAAAATTTTAAAAAGGAATAAATTTCCTTGCACATTCATTTTTTGGACTTAAAATTCTTTGTTTTTGGTGTTTCATTGTTAATCCAAAGACGTGAACATGGAGGATATTCACTGACAGTTATAGCCAAAAATGCCAATTTTTTAAAAAAGATTTATTTATTTATCTGGATGCACTAAGACTTAGTTGTGGCATGTGGGGTCTAGTCCCCTGGCCAGGGACTGAACCCAGGTCCCCTCCACTGGACATGAGAATTAGTCACCACATTAGCTACTAAACCACCAGGGAAGTCACACAAAATGCCAATTTCCCCCCACGCCCCCCAGGTTCCAAAATGCCAATTTTTGATGGTGGCTTTACCCTACTCTTTGACCTGATGGGTATTTCTCTAGTTTTACCTCTGAATAACTGAACTTTGCAATAAAAAAAGGTTTTGTTTTTTAAATAAAATTTAGGTTTTTTTCGTTTGTTTGTTTTAACATGCCTTCACTTTGGTCTTGGGGACAGAGTCCGCCCAGGGCAGTGTTGCTGCACGTTGCGTGGGATGAAGGGCTGAAGGCTGCTGCTTCTTGCAAGCTGGCTTCTGAGATTGCACCTTCTCCTGCTCCTCATCCAACTCTATGATCTTCCAAGGTATGAAGTCTGTGGTTCCAGCCAGAAGGGGGGACTCCTGTAAAGTAAGTGTCTTATGCTCCAGGGCTGCCTGAGTGAATACTCTGCACTGGGGTACTTCTGAAATCTAGTCACCTCTTCATTTTTTCCTCTACCCAGCCTTCCATCTATCATTGATCTATCCATCATCTATGTTATCCCCCATCTATTTACTGATCCATCCAGTCATTCATCAATCCACCTCCTTTTCATTGATCTCTTTACCAATTCTATTACCTTTCTTCATTCACTCACTTATTTATCTACTCATATTTCACCTATTCACCCACCCACTCAACTATCCTCCCTCCCTCCATCTATCCAATTATCCTCTACACACACATTCATCCATTTATCTGTTTACCCTCTCATCCATCCATCCATGTATCCATTTCCTTATTTACTGATCTGTTTGCCAATTCATTCATCAACTTCATTTACTCACCCATTTTCAACCCAAACTCTTTTATCTGTTCCTCCAATCGATCCAATATTCATTCGTCCACTAATTTATCCATTCAGGATCTAGTCATCCATCTATCTTCAATCTGCTCACCTACTCATTTATAGCCAAGCTAGCCACTCAGAACATTTACCTTTTCACAACTGGGAGCCCAGGCCCTGTGACTGAGATGGGGCCACAGAAATGAGTCGGGCTCGGTTCCTACCATCTAAGAATTCAGAATACCATCAGTCAGTGGGAAAAAGCAAATAACACCAAGCATACAGACACAGACAGGGTATTTCCAAAACAGTACGATCAGTGCTGTCCTTATAGTATGTTCCAGATACAGAGGAAAGGTGAGGAGCAGGTGGGTGGTCAGGCATTCAGGTGAGACCGTGCCCTGGGTGCTGACGTCGGAGTAGCCTCAGGATGATGTGGCCTGGGGACGAAAGGCCACCCGGGCATGTGACTGGGAAGGAGTCCCTGCCAAGGAAAGGAGGAAGATGGCAAGATGCCAGGAACCAGAACAAGTAGTTTCTGTGGGGTGAGTACCCACCCCGGCCAGGAGGCCTCCTGCCTGCACCATGCTGCTCCCTGACCACCTCCCTACTGCCCCCCGCAGGCAGAGCTGACCCGCCTAGGAACCAAGACAATGCAGCAAGCAACACAGCTACAGGTGTCCCCCAGCAGGCAGAGCTCCTATCAGTCCATCCCCAACTTCCAAGATAGAGTGGGGACACCATGTTCACAGCCACAGATGTCGCCCAGTGGGCAGAGCTCCCATCAGCCCGATCCCAGTCTCCAAGACAAACCGGGAACACTGCATCCACAGCCCCAGCGTGAACCACCTGCCTCCAAGGAGACCCTTCTGGAACAGCCTGACAAGGACAAGACGGTGGCTCGTCGTATCCCTCGCCTCCGGGCTGTGGTGGAGAGCCAGGCCTTCAGGAACGTCCTGGTGGATGAAATGGACATGATGCTGTCCCGCGCAGCCACCCTCATTCAAGCCAATTGGAGGGGGTACCGCCTCCGGCAGAAGCTCATCTCCCAGATGATGGCGGCCAAGGCCATCCAGGAGGCCTGGCGACGCTTCAACACCAGGCGCCTCCTCCGGTCTGGCAAGACGATGGAGAAAAGAGCGAAGGTGGAGGAGGGGGACATCCCTTACCACCCGCCCCAGCAGGTGCGGTTCCAGCATCCTGAAGAGGGCAAGTCCCTGCTGGCCCAGCCCACCATGGTGAGCAAGGAGACCCAGTTCCCTTCCTCCGACAGCCTGGCCACCTATACCCACCAGCTGGCCCTGCTGCAGTCCCAGGGCATGTCACCGCCTGGGACGTGCTCTGTCGGAGGCCCCAGCGTCACCTTCCTGCCACACCAGACAGTCGCCATCAAACTTCCGTGTCCCGTGAGTCTCGAGGCCAAGTGCCGCCCATGCCTGATGACAAGAACCGTCAGAAGCCCCTGCCTCGTCCAAGTGGAAGGGGACACAACGAAGACCAAGCAAGTAACTGCCAGAGCCAACAAGGCGGGAGCCATGGGGCCACCACCATCTGGAAGGTGCGCCCAGGCAGTTCAAGGACAATTCAAGGCCCAAACCCAGGCCCCCATGGAAGCAGAGGTCCTCAAAATGCTACCCCAGACAGGCCCAGCGCCTGTGATAACCAAGACCCTCTCCCAGCCAGGGCCCACTTTGACCATGACCAGAACTCCCTTCCAGATGTACCCGGCGGCCACGATAACCAAGACTTCGCCCCAGGCTTGCCCAGTGCCCATGGTAACAATAGCCAAGACCCCACCCCAGGTGTACCTGGCAGCTGCAATGACCAAGATCCCCCTGCAGGTGTACCCAGCAGCCCCCATGACCAAGACTGCGGCCCAGATGTCCCCAGCGGCCACCATGATCAAGACTCCCCTCCAGTCGTGCCTGGCTGCCATGATGAACAAGACCCTACCCCAGCCATGCCCAACGCCAGCTGTCACAATAACCAAGGCCCCACCCCAGGTGTACCCCCCAGCCCCAGTGGCCAAGATCCCACCTCAGACGTGCCCGCCAGCCACAGTGACTAAGACCCCACTCCAGTCATGCCTGGCGGCCATGATGAGTAAGATCCAACCCCAGCCGTGCCCAGGGCCCATGATAACCAGCGCCAAAACCCCACCCCAGCCCTGCCCAGTGACCCAAGGGACCAAGACCCCAGGCCCCATGCGACCAACAGCCTCCATGACCAACACTCCACCCCAGACGAGACCGCCAGCCGCTTTGACGAAGGTCCCACCCCAGCTCTGCCTCCTGGCCTCAATTTTCAAGTCTCCAACTCAGACACGGCCTGCGGCCACAACGACCAAAGTCTCGCCCCAGGCGTGTGCAGTGCCCTTGCTGACCAAGATCCCACCCCAGACGCGCCCAGCAGCCATGGGGACCAAGGCCCCACTGCAGGCGTGTCAGTTGGCCACAGTGACCAAGACCCCATCTCATCAGATGCTCCAAGGAGCCTCGGTGACCAAAACAGCTCCTCCCCAGACGCGCCTGGCAGCCATGATCAACAAGACTCCCGCTCAGCTACGCTCAGCGGCCGCCATCCTCAGAACCCTGTGCCTGCCCCCGTCAGCAGCTGGGAACCTCAAGCCTCCGTTTTCAGCAGCGGCGACAGCTGGGATTTCCGACACCTCATCCCACACGTGTCTAAGCGGACCAAAGGCCAGGGCCACGGTGAATGTGAGACAGGCGACAGGGGTTGTCAAGGTCTCGTCCCGCTCCTACTTGACAGAGGGGAAAGTGAAATGCTTTCCCCCATCGCATCTGGGGGCTGCGGCTCCTAAGCCTGCAGCCAGGCCTCCTTTGGAAGGCGAGAAAATCAAGGCCTTCTCCCAGAAGCAAGTGAAAACGGAAACCATGTCTGACACCAGCATGGCCATGGAAATGCCCGGGGATCTGACCTGGGCAAAAGTGGCCAACGACAGGAACAAGCGGGCACAGCTGAGGACGGACGTCTTGAAGGTTCAATCCCAGCTGTATGGGCCTGCTAGAACAGCTGGGCTGCCGCTGAGCACATGTCTGCCTCAAGCGCAGCTGGCCCCTTGTTCAACCACAGGCTTGCCCCAGGCCCAGCTGCTGGCCGAGCTGACTAAGGCCCTGCCCCAGGAGCACGTGTCTGCCAAGCTGACCAAGGCCCAGGGCCCAGGACACCCAGCGGCCCAAGCCCCCGCAGCCGTGGCCCAGCCACACCTGAGTGAGTGTCTGTCCAAGACGCTGTCTCAGGCCCACCTGCCTGCCAAGCTGGTGAAGGCGCAGTCCCAGGAACAGCTGACCACAGCAGTGATCAAGATACAGTCCCAAGGGCATCTCCCCACGGGATTGACGAAGACGCAGTCCCAGGCCCAGCTGGTCACAGACACAGCTAAGAGCCTCTACGTGGCCCACCAGGCTGCTGAACTCAGCAGCAAGACACAGTCGCAGCCACTCCTGGCGGGCTTCAAGGCTTCCACCCAGCCCTGCCAGCACATCGGCACTCTGCCCCTAGCCAAGCCAGAAGACAGACTGACCCAGCTCCCATCCCACAGCTACGTGCAAGGCAAGGCCACCCTGGGCCTGCGCCAGGGGGCCTCTGAGACCCACAACATGCTGGTGCCTCTGCTGGCCCCTGCTGGCCACACCACGTGCAACGCTGAACCCTGGGGGGACAGTGGGGCTGCCCGGGCCCAGCCGTCAACCACCGGCGCACCCCCGCCCAGCCAGGAGGAGCTAGCGGCCTCCCAACTCGCCTCCCTGTGTGCTGATCTGGCTGCCGTGCTGGGCTCCCAGGAGGACCTCCGCGCCCTGCTGGCCAAAGCCCTCTCCCAGGGGGAAGTGAGGGCGGCACTGAACCAGGCTCTGTCCAAAGAAGTCTTGGGAGCCACGATGGCCAAGGCCTTGCCCCAGGGCATCCTGGGCACGGTGCTGGTGAAGGCGCTCTCTTGGGGCGAGCTGGGCACCAGCCTATCCCGCGCACTGTCCCAGGGTGAGCTCACTAAGGCCATTCAGAGCAGACTGGCGGATGTGCTTAGCAAGGCCCTGACGGAGGAGGAGCGCGCCACCTTGAGCCAGGCCCTGTGTCAGGGTGAGCTGGGTGCAGTCCTCAGCCAATCTCTCTCTCAGGCAGCCCTGAGGTCTGGAGTCGGCCTCCCCAAGGCTGCCTCAAAAACGGTGGGAAGCGGGATGACTGTGATGCCGGCCCCGGTGGAGGTGGACTTCAGGGGGAGCCTGTCGGCCGCGTGGGGGCCCACCTTGGGCCCCATGAGACTACAGCCCAGCAAGGTTAGGGTTCCTTGGGGTGGGGCCTGGGAGGGTTTTGTCACAGGCTGGCCCTTGGGGCTCTTGGAAGAGAGGGGGGATGGGGCCATGCTCGGGGGGTCACCCTGCTCATCGGTGGTCTCTGTAGGTGACTCTTTGATTGCTAGGGTCATCACCATTCACCAGCATCCCCCTATTTCTGCCCCGGGTCCCACTCTGTCATGGGAGACGGGACCTAGCAGAAGCCTCTTACATCTGTACCTGACCCCCAAGGTCTGTGAGCAAAGAGTGTGCCTACACCCCAGGGCGAGGGAATTGGCATCAGCTCTCGGCCCCATGGTGAGTGATGTGGACCCCAACTTGCCCAACATGCCCCACCAGCAGCCGTCCTCCAGTCTGTGGCAACCACTCCTTGCCAATGGCGTGGGCCCGAGCACCAGCCGGCCGTCACTGGCCACTGGCAGCTCAACCACAAGCGCCCACAGTCCACACGAGGTCAGCAGGGTGGCCCCACATGCAAGGGCATCTCCAGGGGAGGGTAGGTTAGCCCCGGGCCAGCTTCCCAGCACCGCCGGTCGTGGGAGGGGCACCCATTCCCACAGCTGTACCGCCAGCTATGGGGGGCCTGTTTGCTGGTGTCAGCCCTCGGGGATCAGCAGGGTACCCCCTTGTGTGGGCCAACCCCAAGGGGCCAAAGTTCCGCAACAGCTACCTGTGGTCCCCAAGGAGACCATGCAGAGAACCCGGTCCCCGAATCATAAACGAGCCTTCAAGGGCCCTAGGCAGATGACCAAAGAGGCGACCCCAATTCCACCACAGGCCTCCACGGTGAGCAAAGCACAACCGCATGCCCCCAAGGCCTGCGTCATAACCCCAGGTCCCTGGCCCAGCCCCATGGCTCCTGGTCGTTGCTGGGCACCCAAGCAATGGGGTCAGGTGGATCCCAGTCTGTTCAAAGCCTCCCCAGGCAATAAGCTGACACCCACCCTTTCCCGAACAGCCATCCCCGGGAAGGAGAAGAATCAAACACGGGGTAGCCTTTCCAGGGCACATGGCCCACAGGAGCAGATAACTGGCCGTATACTTAGTGAACTGCTGGCCAATATGCCACAAGGTCCAGACAATGACCTGTCCAGAAGCTTCTCCCAGGGCTCCACAGACTACGGCCTAAACATGAGCAATTCCCAGAGCTCACTACGCGGCTGCAGCTCACTCAGCCTCTCCACCACGTCTAAGGCCAGCATGGCTGCTATTGACGTGGTGGAGGAGGAGCCCTGGGAAGCCAGCCTGGACAGGGACTTTCATCTAGATGCTCTCCCCTACGCAGAGGCCTTGGAGAGGTCCCAGGGGCCCAGGAATGTGGAAGAGACTGAGGGAGCAGGTCACAGGCACCTGGCCCCGAGCCTCCATGACCAGTCTTTGGCAGACTCAGAACGGATCCCCATTCAACATCATAGCTCAGTGGCCAGTTGCATGACGTTGAGTGTCCACTGGGACTCAGAGGATGAGGAAGACATGTCCTCAGATCAGAGTTCCATGAATCTGAAGGGGAGTTTGTCTCAGGCACCCTTTGGGACTGGGTTGACCAGAAGTTTGTCATTGAGTAATGTATTCCCTACTGTCTATCAGGAGCCATCTGTGGCTGGGAGGCTGACCTCATGCCTATCTCAGCCTACAGTAGCCGGTAAGGTGGCCCCAAATCCAGGCCAGCTCTCTGCGGCCAGTAGAATGACCAGCAGCCTCTCTGAGCCATCGGTGGCCAGTAAGCTGACTCCCAGCTTAGGCCAGATGTCCAGGACCAAGAGGGTGTCCCTTAGCCTAGGCCAGCCACTGATGGTTGGTGGGGTGGGTCCCAGCTTTTCACAGCCGTTGATGGCCTGCAGACTGGCCCTGAGCCTAGCCCAGCCACCTGTGACCAGTGGGGTGACCCCCACACTTGCCCAGCCACCTGTGACCAGTGGTGTGGCCCCCAGCTTAGCCCAGACATCTATGACTGGTGGGGTTGTCCCCAGCCTAGGCCAGGCATCTAAGGCTTCTGGGGTGGAGCCCAGTCTAGCCCAGTCACCTATAACCACTGGGGTGGCCCCTAGCCCAAGCCAGCCATCTTTGACCTTTGGAGTATCCCCCTGCCAAACCCAGCCATCTTTTACCAGTGGGATGGCTCCTAGCCTGGGCCAGCCTTCTCTGACTTGTGTGGTGCGCCCCCGCCTAACCCAGCCATCTGTGGCCACTAGGGGGACCCCCAGCCTGGCCCAGCTACCTGTGATCAGTGGTGCAGGTTGTGCTGTGAGTCAGCTGAGTTGGGCCCCTAGGGTTGGTCCAAATTTACGATCATCGGGGGTGAATGCAGTGGCTCCCGGTCAGCATCACTCATCATTTGCCACTGAAGTCACCTCGTGTGCACCATATTCATCAGTGGCTAATGGCATGGGCCAGCGTCTGAGCCAGCCAGCCGTGTCTGCTAGGGTGGACCCACGTCAAGATCCTCTGGCGGTTAGAGGGGTGGCCTCGCATCCCCAGGCCCCTGAGTTCAGCGAGGTGGCCCTGGGCTTTCATCAGCTGCCTGTGATCAGTGGGAAGCACCCAAGAGTAACTGAACAACCTGCTGTCATCATTTCAGCTCCAAACCTCTACCAGGCACCTGTGGCCAGTGAGGAGGACTCTTGTCTAGGCCAGGAAGCCAGTGTGTCTCTGTTCAGGGGCATGTCTGTGAGCAGATCCCAGGGCACCATAGCCTCCGACACGCTCCCAGATATGTCTCGGGGGACTCTGGCTACTGGCATGTTCCTAAGTGTGTCTCAGGTGTCCCCTGGCAGATCAGGGAGTGTGGGCCAGGGGAGTGTGGCTACCGCACTGGGCCCAAGCCAGTCTCAGATGGGCAGGGGCATGGCTCCCATGACATCCCACGCCTCTGCGGCCGCTGCCCCTTTGACTCGTGAATCAGCCTCAAGGGTGGCTCCTCACTTCTCTCAGGCTTCAGTGTCCGGTAGACTGGATGTGAATTCGTCTAAGTTTTCTGTGACCAGTGTGGGCCCCAGCATATCTCAGGTCAGCGTGGATCTTCCAATATCTCTGGACCACCAGTGTCTTTCTGTGTCCACAACCTCCAGCAGTTACCAACAAGCTGATGTTATCAGCCAGGAGCCTGCAATGGGCATACCCAGTGCTGTGGTGCCAGGTTCTATGGCAGGTAGGATGACCACAACTGTGGCCCCAGGTTCTATAGCTGGTGGCATGGTCTCTAGTCTTCCCCCAGGGTCCATGATCAGAGGCATGGACCAGAGCCTTCCTCCAGGGCCAATATTGAGTTGTGTGGCCCCCAGCCTTCCACCAGGTTATGTGGTCAATGGTGTGGTCCATACTCTTCCCCCAGGGTCTGTGATCAGTGGCGTGGGCCTGAGCCTTCCCCCAGGGTCCGTGATCAGTGGTTTGGGCCCGGGCCTCCCCCCAGGGTCTGTGATCAGTGGCGTGGGCCTGGGCCTTCCCCCGGGGTCTGTGATCGGTGGCATGGGCCTGGGCCTTCCCCCGGGGTCTGTGATCGGTGGCGTGGGCCAGGGCCTTCCCCCGGGGTCTGTGATCAGTGGCGTGGGCCAGGGCCTTCCCCCGGGGTCTGTGATCGGTGGCGTGGGCCAGGGCCTTCCCCTGGGGCCTGTGATCGGTGGCGTGGGCCAGGGCCTTCTCCCGGGGCCTGTGATCGGTGGTGTGGGCCAGGGCCTTCCCCCAGGGTCTGTGATTGGTGGCATGGGCCAGAGCCTTCCCCAGGGGTCTGTGATTGGTGGCATGGGCCAGGGCCTTGCTCTAGATCCCATGACCAGCACTGTAGCCCAGGGCCTTCCTCCAGGGTCTGGGGCAATTGGCATGGCCAGAACTGTGCCTATGAGTTCTGTGGCAACTTCAGTGTCCCCCAGTCTGATTGCAGCATCTGGCACTGGTGGGGAGAAGCTAGGTCTTGCGGTGAAACCGTCAGCTAGTCTAATTGCTCCGGACCTACGCTCAGATTCAGTGGCAGGTGCAGTGGACTCCAGAATCCCTCCTTGTCCTGTGAATTCCAGTGTGGACACAGCATCTGTGCCTGGGGGACTGAGTCAGAACCTAGTTCTGGAGTCCATGGCTAGTACAGCCAGTCCACCCTCCACAGTCGGAGGCGTGGCCCCGAGCCTTCCCCAGGGGTCCCTGCTGATTGGGATCTCTCCTCGTCCATACCATGGGGGCCTGGCAGGGGAAGGGTCCACCACCACCTTGCAGGCATCCCGTCCCCCTGGCCTGGCTCCAGCTCCCCTCCAGGAAGCTCCTGGCACGGCCGGCGGAGTATACCAAATGCCTTCGGTTCTGCAAAGAGCCTCACAGTTGAACCAGGCTCTTGGGGTGACGACGGCATTTGAGACCATAGATCCCAAGACTGTGATGAGGCCAGAGGACCCAGATAGGGCTCCTCGCCAGAGGCCCATATCCAGGCAGGGGTCCGAAGTCCTTGAGGCAACCCCATGGATATACCATAGTCCCCTGGCAATGGACACTGACTACAGCCAAGGAGTCCCTGTAGAGAATGAGGCTCTTCCCAAAGACCAGAGGCCGCTATTGGAGGAGGTAGCTCCCAGCCAAGCTAAGTCAGTGCCCAGCGGTGTGGCCTCTGTCCTTCCCCAGTCCCCGAGTCTTGCCGAGCCCTCCACGGTCAGCAGTGGCGCCCCAACCCTGCAGCAGAGGTCAGTGACCAATTTGGTGGCCCCTGGTTCCCACATTGTGGCTGCTAGCCCCAGTGTGCAGACGGTGCCCATCAAGGGCACTGGGGCCCCACTGGCTCACCTGCAGATGCCAAGCTCTCACACTGCACTCTGGAGCCCCTCGGTGACTCAGGTGTCCCATGGGGTCATGGCTTCTACTGGAGGCTCAGGGTCACCCAGGCCGACCCATGACAATACTGCGGCCACCGGTTTGCACCCAAGGTCTGTGGCTCAGACAGGAACCCCACGCACTTCCCGGAGGTTACAGCCACGTGTTTCACCCCATCCATCCCTGATTAGAAAGATGATGTACAGTGGTTTCCAGAAGGAAGCCATTCCCAGCGCACTCCAGAAGACAGCGGCTGATGGTCTGATTCAGAATGGCCATGGGTTCCTTCACCCTAGAACATCCTTCAGGTCCATGCATGCTATTTCAGTACCAAAAAAGCCAGACAATTCTGCAGCTGGGACTGTGCCCTCCAGTCAGGAGCAGCATGATGCCCCCAAGTCCTCGCAGAAATTTCCTAAACACTCCCTGGGTGCACCGCCAGCCTTAACGCCAATAATCCACACTAATGAGCTGGCACACCGCATGGCCAACTCTAAGCAGAGCCCGGGGATTCGGAGGGTGTCTCTGGGTTATGAGTCTTCACCGAGGGGCTCCCGGCGGCCCCTTTTTAGGCAGGAGTCACAGCAAGAGTCTCCAATTTCCCTTAGCTTCATGGCTCCTGCGGAGAGTCTCGGGGCATCCAAGACTCCCACTGACATTCTTGGAACTTCTGTGACTCCTGCTGAGAGTCTCGGGGCATCCCTGACTCCGGCAGACAGTCTTGGGGTGTCCCTAACTCCAGCAGACAATCTCAGGGCGTCCCTGACTCCAGCTGAGAGTCTTGGGGCATCCCTGACTCTAGCAGACAGTCCTGGGGCATCCCTGACTCCAGCTGACCATCTCGGGGTGTCCCTGACTCCAGCTGACAGTCTCGGGGTGTCCCTGACTCCAGCTGACAGTCTCGGGGTGTCCCTGGCTCCAGCAGACAATCTTGGGGTGTCTCTGACTCCTGCAGATAGTCTCGGGGCATCCCTGACTCCAGATGAACATCTTGGGGTGTCCCTGACTCCAGCTGACCATCTCGGGGCATCCCTGACTCCAGCTGACCATCTCGGGGTGTCCCTGACTCCAGCTGACAGTCTCGGGGCATCCCTGACTCCGGCTGACAGTCTCGGGGTGTCCCTGACTCCAGCTGACAGTCTCGGGGCATCCCTGACTCCCGCTGTACTTCAGGGCCCGGAGGACACTGCCATGTCTGGTGGCCAAGCGTGGAACTCTACCATCCCCAGCGTAGCGGTTGGGCCCAGGGGCAGCACCGTGGCCCCTGGCGGTGCTTGGGAGCCAGCCAGGGGCACTGTGCCGTGGGACGTCGTGGGCAGTAAGGCAGCGGTGGACCCCAGACAGCCGAGGGAGCTGGTGGCGTCGGTGCAGGCTGTAGAGAAGATAATCATCCATGCGGTGGTCATTATCCAGGCATGTGCACGTGGCTTCCTGGTGCGCCGTACCATCAAGGTGTGGCACCAGTGGGCCATCATCATCCAGGCTGCCTGGCGTGGCTACCGTGTGCGGCGGGACCTGGCCCGCCTCTGCCGAGCTGCCACCATCATCCAGGCTGCGTGGCGAGGCTTCATCATTCGCCAGAGCCGCACCCAGCACATGCTGCTCCAGAATGTGTGGGCTGAGACCGGCAGTGGGGCCAGGATGACGTCTGACCACCGCTGCTTCCAGTCCTGCCAGCCACACGTCTGTGCTCTTTGCCAGTCACTGACCTCCGGACTAGGAAGCCCACCCAGCGTGGTGATGCTTGTGGGTTCCAGCTCCCGCACATGCCACACGTGCGGCCACACGCTGCCCACCCGGGTGGTGCATGGCACGGGCCGGGGTGCTGCCAGCCAGGCCGGCATGCCACGGGGCTGCCTGACCCAGTCAACTGCCTGGAGCCTTCAGCGACCCCATCAGACCAAGGCGGCCACGGCCATCCAGTCTGCCTGGAGGGGCTTCGTTGTGCGACGTCGGCTGAAGCAGCAACAGGAAGCAGCCAAGATGCTTCAGGCCACCTGGCGCGGCCACAGCGCCCGGGCCTCCCTGACCACGGACGCGCTCTTGGGGCCAGCGGCGTGGGACAACTCGCGGCACACGCAGTGGCCCGGCGTCTAGGACCTCGGCTTACTGGTGGGGGGACGTCAGGGGAGGGGCCACATGGCTCTCTGTGTTTCATGAATAAAGCCCTCCACAGCCTGGGTCTTGGCCTCCTGTGCTGTGCGGGTGTCTTGGGCATGGTGTGGGGTGGAAATCTGGGGGACCTAGAACATCCTGGATTGGAGGGGTCCAAAACTTTCAACCATGCCGTTGGCACTTGGGGTCTGTGCCTGGAATCGGGACCCTAAGCCTTCCGCAGAGGTCAGCGCTGCCAGCCTGGACTCACATGTGCCATGGTATTCATCCAGGGTGAGCAGGGCGGCATCCAGTCAGTTGTGGATGGAAGCACTCTAGCCAGAAGCCATTGTCTGGGGGGCCTGACTTGGAATGGCCACCATGAGGCCCTTGTTCCCAGAAAATTCTAGAGGCTTCCAGCCACATCCTGACTTGAGGGGATGCTGGGCCAGCCCTCAAGGGGCCCCGGTCTCAGTGAGAGAGAGCTGGAGGCAGGTGAGATCAGGGACACGGCAGAGGGAGGGCCTGGGGGCAGCCAGAGGGGGCAGCCTGGCCAAGTGGGGGGGAATGGGGGTGAAAACATGTGCATTGGAAAGACACAGAGGGGCAACAGGGTGGTGGCGGCTTCCGTGGAAACCAGAAGGGGCAAGGGCGTCCTGCAGAGACGCGTGTGCAAGCTGAGTCACTCGTGTCCAACACTGTGACCCCACGGACCACCAGGCTCCTCTGTCCATGGGATTCTCCAGGCAAGAATACTGGAGTGGGTTGCCATGCCCTCCTCCAGAGGATCTTCCCCACCCAGGGATCGAACCTGCAGTCTCTTGCGTCTCCTGCACTGGCAGGCGGGTTCTGTACCACTAGCGCCACTTGGGAAGTCCCCTGAGGGGACAGGCAGAGCAGAAGACTTTCGGGTCATGAACCAAGAGGGTTTGTTAGGAGAGGTGGAGGGGTCCAGGTGGAGGTGGGTAAGTCAGGAATATCTCCCCTGGTGAACAGCGGCCCTCAGATGCCCTGCGTCCGGAGGCCCCGCCTCCGCCTCGGCCCTGAACCGTGCCGCGCGCCGACAGCAGGGGGCGCGCAGGTGTAAAGAGCGGGCACCTGACCGCACACCTGTGCGGAGCCGTCTTTCCCCCTCTCCTCACGCAAGAATGGGGAGCTCCCAGCCGCCGCCGCCGCCGCTTCTGTTGCTGGTTCTGCTGCTGCTGCAAGCTTCTGATAGGACTTCCTCTGTTCTCATGAGCAATGCAGGTAAGAACAGGTAAGATCCGGCTTCCAGGAAGCTGGAGGGGGAAGTGGCCTCGCCGCACACCTGGTGTGTGGACACCTCCCTCGGGCCACACTGGTCTGCCACCGCCCCCCCCCCACCCCGCCCCAGAGCTGTGGCTCCTCCTAGAAGCAAGAACAGCCGGAGCACCAGCCCCTCCACCCCCACCCCTCACCCCAGTCCTGAGGGTGCCAGGTCTGCCACCCCAGCATTACATGAACCAGCGACAGGCTGGTGAATGCCTCCTACCCAATTTGAGGTTCCGTTCCTAATCTCAATTTCTCTTAGCCAGCCCCCAAAGGGAGAAGGGTGAGAACCCAGCGACCATGGGGATGCACGTGGGAGAAGGGCTTACTTCCTGGTCACTGAACATCTATGGCTCCCAGGGGGAGGTTCTCGGCCCCTGACTTAATTTCTTTCTATTTCCCTATAAGACAACTCCTGGGGTGGAGAAGAGTTGAATTTCTCGCATCCGTGGCTCCCATCCTATCCATCCCATCAAGCCTCTGACCAGTGTCCCAGCCCCAAACCTGGAATATCAGAGTGGAGGCCACCACAAATGAGACTCTCGTAGCAGACAAAAGCTTTACTCAGAAGGACCACATAGCTGAGGAATCTGAGGCTCAGACAAGCCAAATTTCCCAACCTGTGCCAGACCCAGATTAAACCAACTGACTTGACTCACGCCAGCCTCCTGGTCTAGGAGTCCCTGGGCAGAGCAAAATCCTGGCACGATGCATAGACTCAGCCCCATTTTACCTTTTGGCGGACTCTCCAGCAGCTCATGAGTACCCTCTCTGTGCCAGGCACTCAGCAGAACTGATGTCCTCCACGACCTCCTCTTTCCAGTTTTCCTTAGTTTGCTTTAGAAGCACAACTCCTCAGAGGTCTTGGGGTCCACTGTGGCCTCCGAATCATCTTCATTTCAGCTGAAACCTCCTGTCATCTGGATTCCTTCTCAAAGAATGGTAGGAGACAGCTTGAGGCTGGACTCTTAGTCTTTGACTCCTTGGAGGTTTTGTTTTGTTTTTTAATTTATTTTTAATCGAAGGATAACTGCTTTACAATATTGGTTTCATTTCTGCCATACACAACATGAATCAGCCATAGGTGTTCATACGTCCCCTCTCTCTTGAACCTTCCTCCCACCTCCCACCCTTTGCCACCCCTCTAGGCTGTTAGAGCCCTGGTCTGAGTTCCCTGAGTCAGATAGCAAGTTTCCGTGGGCTGTCTGCTTTACATGTGGTAGCGTATATGCTTCCATGCTATGCTCCCCTGGAGATCATTGAAGAGCCTTCTTCCCAGCCACTGTGGGCCAGACCCTCTACCATTCTGAGCCCCAGTCCCCCAGCTGTAAAATGAGGATAAAGTCAGGCCAGTCTCCTCCTAGACTCATCTGTCATCCCCCCAGGAACTGGGAAACTGGGTGGAGAAACGGGGTCTGCATGTGGACCCAGCCTCCTCCTGGAGCCAGGGCCGGGTGCTATTTCCTCCTTTGTGCTGCTTAGGGTGAGGCAAGCCCAAAGACCCACCCAGGGCAGAGTGGACTGGGTGTGGCAAGATATGGTTGATGAATGAACGTGCAATCAGTTGAGTTTACCAGCAGCCTGCAGCTGGGAAGGGAGTAACTGTGGGAGGTGGCCCGTGAAATCTTTACCCGCCCTCAGCCTGGGCCCTGGGCTTGAAGGCAGGGAGCAGCTAGAACAGGCAGCAGAGGTTCCAGAGTCTTGTTGCTCAGTCGTGTCCGACTCTTTGTGACCCCGTGAACAGCAGCATGGCAGGCTTTCCCGTCCTTCACTTTCTCCTGGAGTTTGCTCAAACTCATGTCCACTGAGCCAGTGATGTCATCCAACCATCTCATCTTCTGTCATCCCCTTCTCCTCCCACCTTCAATCTTTCCCAATATCAGGGTCTTTTCCAATGAGTCAGCTCTTGGCATCAGGTGGCCAAAGTATTGGAGCTTCAGCTACAGCATCAGTCCTTCCAGTGAATATCTGCTGACTGTTCTTAGAGCTCAGGCCTCAGTGCCCCCATTAAAACCTTGAGTTTAGCCATGGGGACCTTCCAGGTACCTGGGAAAGGAGATTAGGGTCGATACTCTCTGGGAGCTCAGAGGTGGATCTCTGCTGCCCAGCATCACTGAGTATCAGACCTGCGTGAGCTCTCAGAGACTCTTTCTGTGATGTCCATTTTACAGATAAGGAAACTGAGTCCCAGACGGGTTGAAAGAGTTGCCCAGCATGCTGCTGGGTTGGCAGCCGTTCCCTGTATCCAGAAGAGTTCTAGAGCCCTGAAGCAGGAGTCGGGGGCGGGGAAGGTCCACCCCAGACTGAAATGCTGGCTGTGGGAGCTCAGATGAGGAACTTCAGACATCAACACCTCAGTTTCCCACTGAGCACTCCCACTGTGCACTCATCCCTCCAAGTCTCCCTACGTGGGTGTTGTCTGCTGGCATAATAGGGAAAGAGGCACCTGGTGGGTTGGGGGCGTCGGGCCAGGGTTGTATACCTTTGTTCCTAATCATCTCCTTCCTATACCCCAATGGTGTTTTCCTTCCAGATGCTACAGCTGCAGGGACAGAGAGCCTGCCTTCCATATCTCTGACTTCTCCCTTCAGCTACAGCTCCTCTATTGTTGGGGAAAACCAGACCAGCTTAGAGAACACAGAGCCAGGCTCCACAGCCCATCCCAACAGCCCTAGTTCAGAGCCCACAACCTCCCCCAGCCCCACAGATTCAGGGACAGCCTCCACCACCCAGCCCACCTCCTCCCAGCCAGAGCTAGGTACCCACCCCAGCCCTGGCTCCCCCAGTTCAGAGCACACGGTCGCCTCCCCGTCCGGCGCCCTGAGCTCTATCTCCGTGGCCACCCTGCCTTGGAGTTCCACTCACCCCAACCCCAGCACGCTGCCTTCCTCTGTGTCCGTGGCCACCACTGACCGGACATCCGAGACCTCTGGTTATGGTGAGTATTCGGCCACTGGGCCTGTAGGGGGATGGAAAGATTGAAGGGGACAATAGAAGGGGACAATAGAAGACGAGATGGTTGGATGGCATCACCACTCCAATGGACATGAGTTTGAGCAAGCGCTGGGAGCTGGCGAGGGACAGGGAAGCCTGGAGAGCTGCAGTCCGTGGGGTTGCAAAGAGTGGGACACGGCTGAGCGATTGAACAGCAAGGGGGATGGTTGGGAGCATCAAGCTGCAGTTCTGGGGTTGGCCACCAGGGGGAAACATAGTCCTGAGAATGTGCTGGGAGGGGCCTCTTCCCCACCCGACCCCCCCACCTCCTCCCATCACCTAAGCCTCTTCAGACCTTCATTCCAAGCACATTTTATTAAGCATCTATTGTGGGTCAAGTCCTGTGGGAAACGGTTATGTTGGCAGATAGGTTATAAGAGCAGGATAAAGGGTCGAAATGTGAGTGCAAAGGATTTGAAATTTTAAAAGACTACTTGGCAGAGGTCTTAGTTTGAAGGAGGTGAAGGAGGGAACCATGCCGGTACCTAGAGGGAAACAGGACAGGCAGTGAACACAGCACGGGCAAAGGCCCTGGGGTAGGACTGTTCCTGGGGCATCTCAGGTGCAACCAAGGAAAAGTGAGGTGGCCGAAATGGGGTGAGTGGGGTACTAGTTGGGGTGGTGAGGGTGGGGAATTTGTAGAGTCCCTGGGGTCCAACAGAGGCCAGGCATTTTTCAGAGGGTCTAGAAAAATCTATCATTCAAAATAGTATGTTGTTTCCAAAACGTGCAAAGAAGAGTGCAAACATGAAGTATAACGTTTTGCTATAAATTTAATAACATTTTGTTATAAATTTAGTAACA